CAGCCATTCTTTCTGGAGTGAGGTGGAATCTCAGCATTGTTTTCATTTGCATCTCTCGAATGACCAGTGATGTTGAACATTTTTTATATGTTTATTTGCCATGTCTACTTCTTTGCATGAGAAATGTCTGTTCATTTCAGATTCCCATTTTTGGACTGGGTCTTTAAATTTGGGAGGTCTGATTTTTTTTTAAGTTCTTTATAGATTCGAGATAGTAGACCTTTGTGTCTTCAATTTTTTAATTCCAGGATAGCTGTCTTCAAGTTTAATGCCATCTTAACAAAGCTTATAAACTTGCTAGATTTTCTCTTCTAAACATCTAATCCAATGCTCATTTTGATTATGTAGGGCCCTGAATTTGTCTTTCTTTCTTTCTTTCTTTCTTTCTTTCTTTCTTTCTTTCTTTCTTTCTTTCTTTCTTTCTTTCTTTCTTTCTTTTTTTCTGGTACTGGGGATCAAACTCGGGACCTTGAACTTGTGAAGCAGGTGATGGCACCACTGAGCTAAACCCCTGGCCCTGAATTTGTCTTTCTTTTGAGGGCAGTATTTCCCCTGCCGTGAGCTGAGTGATCAGAGAGGTGAGGTAACTTGCCCAGGGTCACTCAGCAAGGCCTGACAAGGGGACTGCGGTTTGGCTGAGGTCATTCTTGGGTGTCCCGGGCTCCCGAACAGGCTGTCCCAAGGCTCCTGGTCTGTGGTCTTGGCTTCCCACGGTCAGAAGGGACCAAGAACCGCTGTTTCCCTTCCTAGGAAGAGGGTTTTCCTTCTGTAAGAGAGCCTCCACGCACAAGCTGGTCTCAAGCCAGAAGCCCCACCATGCTCTGGTAAGTGGGGAGCCCTGCAGGCTACAGAAACCCAGGGTTCGAAGAGCACCAGTGGCCTCCTGTGGGTGGCACATCGCTGTGCCCTGCCCTGGCCTACCCCAGATTCTCGGGTGACCCATGGATTGAATGGCGCCCTGACCACAGGCACGCCGGCTGGGGAGCACAGGAGCGGAGCCAGCCCTTGGTGCGGCCTGCAGGGTGCAGTGCTTTTCTCTGTTTCCATCAGTGCTCAAGGCAGCCTGGAGCTGGCCAGTTACCAACACCTACTTCGGCCCTGCTTCTTCCCCAGCCTGTGCTCCTCCATGAGCACTGCTTCCCCTTCCACCTTACCTGCCTGGTTTGAGCTCCCATCACAGCTGCTGTGGGCTCCTAACAGATCACCGTTCGGGCTCCAGGGCATCCCTGCCATCTCTCCAAAGGGCAAAGCTAATTACATCTCCCACCTCGCCTGACCCCTGGCCCCCAGCACCTCCTTCCAGCCCAGAATGGGACCCTTTTCATACCTGAGAAGGCCCGGGCCCATCTCCAGCTCTGGGCTCTAGGGGTTCCTGCCTCAGTGGCCCTCTTTCAATTCTGTGTTTTCTACACTCCCTCCCTGAAGAGGGACCCTGTACTTGATGCTCCTTTGGTCCCAGGTCCCACCCTACGGCCATTTCCATGGCCCTCATCTCTGCCCAACTCCAAGTCCAGAGAGGTCACGAGGGTAGCATGGAACTAAGCAAATGCCACAAATCACAGCCAGCTTCGTCCTGGAGAGCCAGAAAGTAAATGTCCAGAAAGGGTTTGGCTAAACATATCAAGCCTTTGACTTCTTGCCTTTGTAAATAAAGCTTTATTGGCATACAGCCATCGCCCTTTACTATTGTGTACAACCACTTTTGCACCAATGTAGTTGAATACTTACAATAGAGACTCTCTGACTTGCAAAGCTGAGTATATTCTCTCTGTCTCTTTGCAGAAAAAAAAAAAATTGTCAACCTCTGGTCTAGAAAATATATACTCATCCTTCCATTTCAATTCCTGCTCTTGTATGTGGGTATTGGGGGAGATCTTTCTACTACCCTCTTAGACTTAGTGTATCAGGCCCTGCAAATTAATATCAAGTTTTATTTGATACTAATATTTTTTCACAATGCAAGGACCTTCAAAAAAAAAAAAAGTAAAAACCCCAAAGAGGCAGTTAGGTGTGATAGCTGGTATACTCTTTTATTTTAGTTTTTTAGGGGACAGGATCTCACTACATTGTTCAGGCTGGGCCTTGAACTCACTATGTAGCCCAAACTGGCCTTGAACTCATGGAAATCCTCCTGCCTCAGCTTCCCAAGTACTGGGATTACAGGCATGTGTCACCACACCTGGGTAATTTTAACAATATTAACAAATTGTGGAGACAAAGGAAAAGGAACTTGAGCTGCTAGGGATGTGAATTGTGAGAGGGTAAATATATGAGGAAAACTCATATGGAGTCATATGGGGTCATTTCAGTAAGGTTTGTTTTCCCAGATTCAAGTTGTTGGCATTTCCTGGGATGGGTTGTCTCCTCTTCCCATACAGGGGAGGGGAAGGGGTCCTCTTCACCAAGGGAAATTTACACTCTGCTTTCACATAGAGTGGAGATGGTAAAGAGCTTTTCCAGCCTTGGCTGCCTTTTAATTGCCTTCAGCTCCAAATAACCTTTATGCCAAAATGGCATATGTAGGGGTGACATTCTTTTATTGTGTATGGTGCTGAAGGCTGAATCCAGGCCTCATGGATGTTGGGCAGGTGCTGTACCACTGAGCTACACTGCCAGCCAGGACTGGCAGATGCTGATCCCCTTCGGTCTCACACGTAGCGCTAGCCTTCCCAGCCCTCTGGTCTGGATGGGTTCCTTGGCGTAGGTGCCCTCAGCCCTTTCTTTCAGATCATTCATGTAATTACTGTGGCTGTGGCTGTCTGACCTCTCATCTTCCAGTGCTGGGCCAGCAGCCCCGTTTATGATGCCAAAATCCCTGTTTCCTATCCTGTGCTTCATTCTTTTTTTTTTGTACTGGAGACTGAACTCAGGGCCTTCACACTGATCTACATCTCTAGCCCTTTTTTCATTTTTCTATTTTGAGTCAATATCTCACTAAGTCACTATGGTAAGTTACCCAGTTTGGGGTTTACTTTGAGATTCACCTGTCTTTTTTTTTTTTAGTTCTTTTATTGGTACATTTTAGGTATACAACACATTTACATTTATCATTGGGTGCTTGTACCTGTACATGATATATCTTGGTTCTTATTTTTTCCCCATTCCCTGTGCACCCTTCACCCACTCCACCCTTCCCTATTTACATAGATTTCATTTCCATTTTTTTTTCTTTTCTCATAGTTTTTCCTTTCCCTCTTTTCCTTTCCCCTTCCCCTCCCTTCACTCCTTTGTCTTTGGACCTTTTTTCCTATTGCAAATTATCAATTATTCATTTTAATCATTTTAACCCTTGTTTACACTATCAGTTTCTCACGCTAGAGAAACTATTCGGTATTTACACGTGTGGCCTATTTATTTCACTTAAGAGTATAGTCTCGATATCCATCCATTTAGCTATAAATGACTCTAGTTTTTCATTCTTTATGGCTAAGTAGTACTCCATTTTATTAAAAAACCACATCTTCTTTATCCAGTTTCCAGTTGATGGGCACTTGGGCTGTTTCCAAACTTTAGCTATTACAAACTGTGCCGCTATAAACATGGGTGCACATATATCGCTGTGGTATGATTCTAATTCTTCTGGGAAGATACCCAGCAGGGGAATAGCTGGGTCAAATGGGACCTCTAGTCCTAGTTCTTTGGAGATTCTCCTGTCTTAACCTCAGGAGTAGTTAGGATTACAGGTGGTCACCACTGTGCTCAATTTGTGCTTTTCAAATTTTAATTAATCAATTAATTAATTTGTGTTACTGGGGATTGAACCCAAGACCTTCACATTGAGCTGCATCCCCAGCCCTGTATTTTTAAAATTTTATTTATTTATTTATTGGTACCAGGGATCGAACTCAGGTCCTTGCGCTTGTGCAGCAGGCAGTGAAACTACTGAGCTAAGTCTCTGGACCAGCCCTGTGTTTATTTTGAGACAGGGTCTTGCAAAGTCACTAAGTTGCCCAGGCTGGGCTCAAACTTGCCATCCTCCTGCCTCAGCCTCTCAGAGAGAGTGCTGGAATCACAGGTGTGCGTCACCACACCCAGCTCAGGCTTCATCCTTAGCAGCTAGCTTGAGGCATGAGTCCTTGTAAGAACCCCCTCCACCCTGTCTGGGGTGTCTCTGCTCTAGGACAGGTTCAATCCCCAGTACCCCACACACACACACAAACAGAAAAAGACCCACATCAGTGCAAGGCGTCTCCCGCAGACAGCAGGCTGTCCCACCCCACCCCAGCTCCCCTCCTTACATTGTCCTTGCCTCTGCCACCAATCTGTCCCAGGCCTGTGCTACATGGAGCCCCAAACTCGTTTTCTAACAAATCCTAGCACCACCTCAACGCTATAAAAATCACTCGCTCTTGGGAACCAGCTGCACGGAGTAGGGGAGTTCTGCCTTTCTCCTGCCCATTCAAATATCTCATTTCTAAAAAAGCAAAGCACTTGTTGTTAAGGCTGGTGGACCGCTTGTCTGCCACTTGGTGGGCCATCTGCTTCACGTCCTACTTATCCTTAAAGACAGAATGAATATGTCTTCCTTCTTTCCTTGGAAGCCCTCCAGCTCTCCTCAGGCAGAATCCAGCATTCCCTGCCTTGGCTCCCTGAGCTAATCTCACACTGCTTGTGACAGACTAGGGGTTATCTCCCAATATCTGCTGCCTTCTTTATCTCTAAAAAGAGAACCTCTCATTTTCAGTTGAGCTTGTGCCTGGCCAGAATAAAGACTATAGTTCTTCATCTCCCCAACATCTATGCATAGCCATGTGATGAAGATTCAGTGAATGAGATTAAATGATTGAACCCCTTGGAAGTTTCTGGGAACCTTCCTTCTACATCTCCTTATTCTTTCCAACCTGCTGCCCGGAAAGTGAATGTGATGACTGGAGCTCTGGCTGCTATCTTGGGCCAGAGGACAAGGGTCCTATTTATTTATTTATTTATTTGTTTATTTATTTATTTATTTGGTACCGGGGATCGAACTCGGGTCCTTCTGCTTTTGAGGCAGGTGGCAGAACCACTGAGCTGAATCCTTAGCCCCAAGGGTCCTATTTTAGGAAAAGTGGAACCAGGAGCTTTAAAAGTCCCAGTCCTCAAGGGCTTAGTACAGTAGCAATACCACATGATTTGCAACCTTCAGACTTTTATGTGGGAAAGCAATTTCTACCTACTTTGAGCCATGGTTATTTTGAGTGTGTGTCATGCACATCCAAACGTTATCCTAGATTATATTTCCTCTGTATGCATTAGCTGACCTGGCCCTTAGGGAAACCTGGGCAGTAGATGGGTTAAATGACTTGCCCAGGATCACCCACTGGTGAGTGACAGCTGGGCCCCGATCTCCATTCTGCCTCCATCCCAGACCAGGTGCAGGCCCCTTCAGCCCCCAGTCTCTGCTGAGCTCCTGGGATTGTCTTTCTGCGCTTCCTTTGCTAAGAATGATGAGAACTATCTTAGATGTTGCACGTATTCCTCTCACTACCAGTGTTCCTAACTCTGTTCCTTTCCCTTTTCCTCCCCTGGAGTTTTCTAGTGTATGTTCAGCTGACAGGAGGGTCTCTTCTGCCAACTGGCATTCAGCAGGAAGCTCCCGATGCCAGAACACCCTGAAAGGTACAGTGACGACCAAATGCGACCTCTTGGCTTTTGACTTGGGTGTTATTTCCAAAGCCTTAGACTCCTGGCTTTGTTTGAACATAATTTGCTTTACTCTTGGGTCTTGGCACCAAGCAGTGGTCTTGACAGTTAAGTCTAACTTTTGCAATGATGGGTTTGCCACAGTGCTAGGATCTGTGGGGAAGCAGGCTTGTTAGCGCAGGAGGGAAATCAACTCACAACGTGATTGCAACACCTGTCCCCACCAGAAAGCAGCATTTGTTGAGGTAGGGACTAAATAGCACCTGGATCTTAGTTTATAAAGGTGACTGAATGGAAACACAGAAAGGACGATGCCATGGAAAGAAAAGTTTAATGTTACCACCCCCATCAAAAAGAGGGGCACAGCCTGCTTGGTGGGGGCACCAGCGTTGGTCAGGAAGAAGAAAAGAGCTAGGGGAAGGCATAGGTCACAGCTTTTATGGAGGTTCAGCAGGAAGAACAAAGAAGACAGAGAACACAGTTTAGGACTGGTGAGAGTGGATAGGCCCTCGGGGCTGCAGGCAGAGGCCTGTCCCTGGCTGGCTAGCACCTGGCTCAGGGCTGACTCAGACTCAGGTCAGAGCCAGCACTGGCATAGAATGTGAGCATTAGAGAAAGGAGCTGGCTCAGTGTGTGGCATCTGGATTGCAGGAGAAATGTCCCATAGACAATGCATGATCTAGAAACAGGGTTAGAATGAGAACTCTAGGTAATTTCATGTGTGTCATCATTATTCAAAAGATTTAAACTTTTTCTTGAGGGAGAAATAGAGGCTTGAAGAAGTTAGTATGATAATTATTTTTCAAAAAAGATGTTAAAGTTGGGCATGGTGGCATAGGCCAGTAATCCCAGCACTCAGGAGGCTGAGGCAGAAGGATCGCCGTGAGTTCAAGGCCAGCCTAGAGTACATAGTGAGTTCAAGGCCACCCTGGGCTACATAGTGAGACCATGTCTCAAAAACAAAACAAAAAATTGTGTAGATATGTTTTTAAAAAGCATGTGAATCGATCGGAGAGTATAGTCAGGGTTCCAAATGGAGATACATATTTCTGGGAGACTTTGTAAGTTCAAAATACATAGATATATTGAATTCCTGAAGACCCAGGAGTCAAAGGAGAAGTACTGTTAACAGAGTCATAGAGCAGAAGCCCAACTCCAGGGGTCCCCACCAGACCAGGCTTGGCCACCCGGCTTAATTGGCACTAACATGCAGTGGAGAAGTTTGGAAGGAACTCATTCAGGGCAGCCACACTGGGAAGGAACATCTTCAGGGTACTGGCAAGAGCTTCGGGATTATACAGAGAAGGACCGGAAGTGGGGTAGGGAGAAGAAGTGGGCATGCTCAAGCAGTCTTGGCCATGAGGCCTGGTTGATCATTGTCTCAGGAAGCTCGTCAGCCACAAGAAAGTTGTTGCTGCCTGGTGTATATTTGGCTAAAAAGCAAGTGAAATAATATGAATTTATCATAGCTGCATCCATTAGTATCTTAGAATGATCTGATTGTACCCATGTACTTTAGGAATGCCTTCTAGATTCTAGGAAGCTGAGATCTGCCATATGATCTTTCCTATACTGCTAACACACTCCAATGATCCTTTTTGTTGTTGTTGTTATTGTTGTTACTGTATCACTCTGACAGAACATCATCACTGTAAAACCCTGGTCTTGAGGAAAGCTACACAGCAAGTCAAGAGGATCTCAGAAGCAAGAGACTGTGAGAAGTTTTCTAAACAGGTGAGCACATGGCTGGAAATAGAACAGCAGAGGTGATTTAAAAACCTAACTCTCTGAAGATGTCATGGTAAGGACTGGGGTGTTTCTGACTGCAAATTCAGGTGACGTTCAGGAAGTCTCCTGAGGATTATCCTGGGTGAGGTAGGTACACACTGATGGAGCATTTTGGCTGGTATTATCCAGTTTCAAGTTATCTGTTGGAAACCCAAGAGCCTACATGTAATGAAAAGGAGTGTTGACAATCATTCCTGGGTGACGGTGTTGTTATGGGATTTACATGAAGTAATGGCAACAATTAACATTTAGTGAGCATTCAGTATATGTTTGCACTATATTAGACCTTATATACACAGCATTTTGTTGCCGCAGTCCTCTGCTATAGTTACTACTGTAATTCTCGAGTTTGTTAGTGCGGAAAGGGATGCTGAGAGGAGGTAACTAATTTAGCCAAGATTATGTATCTAGTGATAAAGCCAAGCACTTCATGCAGACCTGGTTGGCTCTGAGCCTGAGCCCTTAACCACTGAGTGTTGCCACCAGTACTGTCCTTAGCACATGAGACGTGCAAGGTGACTGTGTCTGCTCTTCTCCCCAATCTTCCATCTCTTTCTCATAAACCTCACCAGGTGGTCACTTCCACCAGTAGCACCTCCCACCTTGAATAGTGGGAAGAAGCCCTTAGGATACTGAACAGGTTTAGGGTCCTCTGCAAGACCAGCTAGCAGAAGAATCAGACTTAGGATTTGGGCCAAATATCAAGGATTGTAGTTTTGGTTTTTTAACCTTTTCCACCTCCACACCAGTTATCAATGCCTACTTCTCCTCAGAATTTAGCATGGAACTTTTGAGAAGGAGCAGGGCACGGCAGAAAAGATAGACATGGGTTCAAATCTTGGTGCTGCTTCTCACCAGTTATGTCACTTGCACAGATTAACTTTTCTGACTTTCTAGAAAATGGGAAAAATGCAGCTCAGCAATGTTATGGTTCTTAGCTCTTTCAAGGCTGGTGGGTTTGGTCTAGGCATGAAGGAAGGAGATGAGTGATCATGTCCAACAGTTAGAGTGGAGGGTGGCAGATTTTAAGAGGAATGGAAAACAGCTGAGATCTGAGACCTGGCAGGGAAGAGTGGAAGGGAGTTTCCAACAGTGAATCATTCATGAGGGTCTTGATGGAGGGTCCCGAGCAAAGAGCCAGCAAGCCACTCTGCCACTTTAGGAAGTATGGTGTACATGCCTATAATCCCAGTGCTCAGGAGCCTGACTGAGGCTGGAGGATCACAGTTCGAAACTAGAGTGGACTATGTAGTGGGTTCAGAGAGCCTGTTCCTATCCTTTGTTGACTTTTGCCTATTCCAAGAAAAAAATGTTTTCCATTTTTAGGATTCTTAGTCTTTTGCTTATTGATGTGTAGAAAAGATCAATTCTTTGTCATGTTTGGCCAAAAGAAACCCTCCTATTTAATTTTTTTTACCTTAGTCATGGTGTTTTAGGATAGAAATGTCTAATTTCTATACAATCATATTTAATTTTTTCTTTACCACCTATTCTCAATAAAATCTTAACCCAGATGTCACCAAGGGTCACACCACTCCTTGGAATTTAGCTGAAGGTTGATTTGAGCATTTGTTATATGATTTGCTTGAGTCTAGCTCCCTGTTAAGATGCCTGAGACTTGTGGGTCAGGAGTTGTGGTTCTCTGGAGTTAACTTGCTCTTCTGTCCTCCACATGGTTTGCACATAATGCATCGAGCCAAATGTGTAACTCACCTCCTCCTTGGTTCTCACCAAAACCACTGATGCAAGGCGTGTATGTGCATGTGTGTGTGTATGTAGAAGATTTATTAATGTCTAAAGCTATGAGAAGAATGGAAACCATAGCACAGTAATGCCAATAATTTTAAATTTAATACCAATTGCTTTTCTTTAAAAAAAAAAAATCTCTTTCCCACACTCACGTCAAGCCCATCAGCAAACCCCACCAAATTGCCTTCAGGACATACTGCAAACCTGACTGCTGCTCCCCCTTCCCTAGCAGCTACCAAGGCCAGGACATCAACTCTTTCCTCACCACTGTGGAGGCCCTGACTGCTCTGCCTGTGTCACTCTTCCCAGTGACAGTCATCCCTCCACACATCCATCAAAGAGAGCTCATTGAGAAATTAATCAGATGGTGTGGGTGGGGGGCACCCTGCTCGAAATCTCCAGCAGCTCCCATCACATTTAGAAAGAAATCCTAGCTCCACAACCTCCCTCTGCAGCCTCATCCTTCCTTCCAGCTTCCCAAGCTCCATCTGAGCCACACCGGCCACACTGAGCTCGTGTCTGCCACAGATCTTGTGCACCTGCTGTCCCCTCCATCTGGAACCCCCATGGCTCCCTCCCTCACATCATTGGATCTGCTGGGCTGTCACCTCACAAGGCAGGGTGGTCTTCCCTGAGCCCCCTGGAACATGGCCCCTCCTCCCTTCCGCCCATCGCCCCTGTGCCCACCCTGTTGCTTGTTATCACACACGACATCTGTTGCTTATTTATTGTTTTCCTAGGATTTATCTTGTTCTCTACTGAATCTCCAGTGCCTAAAACAGTGTGTACACATAATAATCACTCAGCAAATATTTGCTAGGTGAATTATTAACATCTTATAATAAATATATTTCCAGGCTCTTTTCCATCTTTTCTATTTACTGGTTTATTTTATATAATTGTATTTAAATAAATATATAATTTTTCTTTGAGTCAGAGTCTCACTATGCAGTTCAGGCTGGGCTTGAACTCACTTTATAGTACAAGCTGACCTCGAATTTGTGGCAATCCTCCTGCCTCAGCCTACCAATGCTGAGATTACAGGCATTTTTCACCATGCCTGGCAATAAATATATACTACAATCTATCCAATTTTGCATCTCAATTTTTACCTGAAACTTTTTTTTAAAGCTATCAACTCTTAATAAACTTTTTTTTTGTCTGTATTGGGGATCAAAGCCAGGACCTCACACATGCAAGGCAAGTGCTCTGATCTGAGCTACACCCCCAGCCTCATGAACATCTCAATAGTGGTCTCCTAGTGCTTTGGGTAAAGATATCAGTATCTTTTCCTTGGATATTAGCCTATTCTAAAATCAATTCCTGTGTGGGGTTTTGTTTTTTTTTTGGTACTGGGGATTGAACTCAGGACCTTGCACTTCCGAGGCAGGCCCAGTGCCACTGAGCTAAATCCTCAGCTCCAATTCCTGTGTTTAGTAAATATCCTGCAGTAGACCTCTTAGTCCCTAAAGTTCTTTTCTTGATTTTGATCATTTCCTTAGGTTGCTGGAGTTAGGTAACTGGAGTTAATGGATCAAAGGATGTGGGTGCCTTTAAGTTTCTTAATACGTGCTGTAAATATGGCAATGCATTATTTTTTCCTCTTTCTTTCCACCTCAGTCTCACCCGGCCTGCAAAAGCCCACCGCTGACTTCAAACCTCTTCAACATCTACGGGAAGAGCCCTCTGATCGTGTACTTCCTCCAGAACTATTCCAGGCTGCGCCAGCACGGAGGGAAAGGACCAAGGTCATACCATATCCTTGTCACTGCAGGTGGGGCACAGAAGCAGGGCTCAGGGAGAGGCACAGAGCCAGGCACCAAGTAGGTAGGTACTTGTTGGGGTGGCCTTCGAGATGAGCCTTAGAGCCAGAGTCTTGCTCATCTGAGTTCTAGATCTAAGAGCAGCCTGTGAACTGGCCAGGAGACCCTGAGCAAGTTGAACTCCCTGGGTGTGGTCTTTCTTCTATCTACTAGAATGAATGGGCTAACTAGGTACTAACCTACTTTGAAAACTAACACTTCTCAGGTGCTCACTGAGTGCGTCCTGATCAGTGCTTTTTGTGTCCTGGGTAGTTCATCTAACACCCTCCTCTCACACGCCTCTCACCTGGTCCCATGTTCGAATTTCTAGCCCCATTGCTATTTATCCCAATGATTAATTAAAAAAAAAATCAGATCCCAAGAAGACAGATGTGGCACTTGTTATCCTGAGTCTTAGCAGTTTATGATAGAGGTCAGAAAATGAGTTTTACCTGGGATCAAATTGGTCTCTTGGTCCAAATAGACTTGGACTCTGGAACCAACTCTACCACTAACCAGCCAAGTAATTTTAGATAAGTATCAGTTTCTCTCTAGGACTCCTTTTTTTCTTTTTCTCTTTTGGTTTTTTGAGACAGAGTGCTGCTATGCAGTCCAGGCTGGCCTTGAACTCACAGCGATCCTCCTGCCTCAGCCTCTGCAGTGCTGGGATTACAGGCGTGTGCCACCATGCCGGTTTATTTCTATTTTATAGATAAGGAAATGGAGACATAGGGCATGAAGGATGTCTTGTCTGAGCTCCCACAGCTGGTGACAACCGTAGTTGAGATTCTAACCCATGGGGGAAGCATGGAGGAAGGGACCAGAGATTGCTTCAACATGCACACTTGAGATGGAGCTTCTGAAAGCAGAGCTGGGTTCCCTCCAGCCCACCTCGCTCCCCTGTGACCCTGCAGCAGGAACTCCAGGTGACAGTCTGATGGTGCTTCCTGACTCCCTCCCTTCGGCAGGGGCAGAGGATCAAGGCTGTCTTTAGAGGTGGGAACCCATCAGGCTGCAGAGAGCAGGCCATGGCCAACAGCAGGGGGCTGTCATCTGCTCAGAATATAGGACTCGCACCCCAAAACACAGGGCACTCCCCCTACCCCGTGCCATCCCAACTCTAGCCCCCACATTAGGCTCAGGCCACTGATAATGCAGGGTCCACACAGCCCCAAATGTGGATTCTCCTTGACCTTGAGAAGCACTGAATCCACCCCAACCTACGCCAAGGTCATCAGCCTGACCCTGAGCAACATGAAGAACTACAGGGACCACTTTGAGCAGTTGAACCAGCTTCACCACAGTGAATGGAATTATTTTGATAGTCACCTAAAGGACCTGCATGACCGCTTCCTGAGGTATGGAAGGGGCGTTAGCATGGTCCCTGTAAGTTTAGTAGGGGAGGGTGGCATCTTAATCACTGTCCACATTCTTGTGGTCAAAATGGAAACTCCTCAGAAACCAGCTCTTTTCTTTAAAAAGTTATTTTTTAAAGTGGTACCGAAAGTATAGCTCAGTGGTAGAGCACATGGCTAGCAGGCATGAGGCTCTGGATTCCATCCTCAGCACCAAAAAAAGGAAAAGCTATTTTTTTCTAACTTCTAAAAATGTTTTATGGGGCTGGGGATGTAGCTCACTCAGCACCACAGCGCCTGCCTGGCAAGCTCAAGGCCCTGAGTTTGATTCCTGGTACAAAAAAAAAGAAAAAAGTATATTCCACTAGGCATGGTAGCTCATGCCTATAATCCCAGCACTCTGGAAGGCTGAGACAGGAGAATTGCAAGTTCAAGCCCACCTTGAGCAATTTAGTAAGACCCTATCTTAAAATTTAAAAATTTAAAAAGGGGATGGGGATCTAGCTCAGTCCAAAGGGTCTGGGTTTAATCTCACATATGCACCCATGTGTGTGTGTGTGTGTGTGTGTGTGTGTGTGTGTGTGTTGCTCAATGAAAGCAAACAAAATACCTGAAAGTACACATTACTAATATTTTTCTATAAATTCTCCCAGTCTTTTTTTTCTGGACACATATCTGTATCATTAAACAAAAATAGTAGATTTATACCATCAATCTGTTCTTTAAACCTTTTTCCCCACTTACTAGGATATTATGAACATTTTTTTCTGTTTTTCCATATTTTGGTTTTATTTAGAAATTTTAACCAGGTGTGGTAGTGCACACCTGTGATCCCAGCACTTGGGAGGCTGAGGCAGGAGGATCACTGTGAGTTCAAGGCCAGCCTGAACTACATAGTGAGACTCTGTCTCAAAATAAATAAATAAATAAATGAAACCAAAACGAAAATAGGAAGGATTTAGCACAGTGGTTCTGACCCCTGCCTTGCAAGCGCAAGGTTCAGAGTTCGATTCCTAGTACTAAAAAAAAAAGTTCTTGTCCTAAAAAGGAAAAAGTTTTTCAGATCTTTTGGTAGAGTTGAGAGAACTATACAATGATCAACATTTGCCATCACTGCCTTATTACCAAATACCCACATTTTCTTCCTCTCCTTTGTATGTTGTCCAAATTCACATTTCCTCAATTATCCCCAAAGGGTTTAATTGGCTTTACTTGCTATTCCAGAATCCAATCAAGGGTCAGAAATTATATTTTGTTGTTTCATCTCTTTGGTGTCTTTTCATCTATAACAGTGTCCTTCCCACTTTGTTATTATTATTATTTTTTTTGGTACCGGAGATTGAACTGGGGTCCTTGCGCCTGTGGGGCAGGAGGTAGAACCACTGAGCTAAATCCCTGGCCCCCTCTTTGTCATTTTTTTTATGGCATGGACTTTTTGGAACACTTCAGCCACATTCTGGCTAGTTCTGGTTATAAGAGTGTGCTCAGTACACGAAAATGTCTTGAGCCACACACATGGACTCTGTGCACGTTTAGGTATCTAGGTTAGACTTCAATAATATTTTTACACAGTCCTTTAGATACTCAGATATCTGGTTATCTCTATTTTATTATTATTATTATTATTATTGGCACCGGGGATCAAACTTGGGACCTTGCACTTTCGAGGCAGGTGGTAGAACCACTGAGCTAAATCCCTGGGCTTCAATAATTTTTTTAAATGGTGGCCATCCACATCTGCCAGTTTACAGGACCTGCAGAAGACACATTAACAGTCGATGTGTGTTTAATCAGCCAACCCAAAATGGAAGATTCTATAGGATGAATAACCTGATTTTTGTTCAGCACATAAAAAGCAGGGAAGATAAAAGGAGGAAATGTAATTGATTAGAAGATGCCTAAGAGCTAAGTCAATCAAAACACTGTTTGGATCCTGACTTAAACAGACCAACCATAAAAGGATGTTTATGAGATAATAGAGAAAATTTCAACATTGAGATTTAGCTGATATTAAATAATTCCCTTTATTTTTTAGGTGTTTTAATAGTTTTTGTTATGTAATATTTCTTAAATTTTTTTAGGGCACTAAAGATCAAACTCCTGAGTTACACCCCCAATTCCAATAAATCTTGACTTAAAGTGTCTAAAATATTGAAATCTTGACTTAAAATATTGAAGTGTCTAGGGAATGAAATGACAGTGTCTAGAATTTGCTTTAAAATAATCCATGGTTACACCTGTAATCCCAGCACTCGGGAGGCTGAGGCAGGAGAATCACTACGAGTTCAAGGCCAGCCTGGACTACACAGCAAGACCCTGTCTAAAAAGAAAAAAAAAAAACCTAAAATAATCCATTTGAGGTGGGAGGGTAGAGTGGGTAATAGATAAATCAAGATTGACCTTGGGCTGGGGATTTAGCTCAGTGGTTCCGGCGCCTGCCTTGCAAGCGCAAGGTCCCAAGTTCAATCCCCAGTACCAAAAAAATAAAAATAAAAAAAGATTGACCTCATGTTGATAACTATTGGAACTAAATAATGATATATGGTATTAATTTTACTAGTTTCTTTTATGTATGTTTAAAGTTTTAATACTGCATAGAAAGTTGGTGTTTTGTCTTTTAAATAGCAGTCTGTTAAGAACAAAAGGTGGCCAAGGCAGTGTGAAATATTACTCATGGGTGGACGAGGCTCTGGGAGCGTCAGTTATTCCTGGTTTCCCTAATGCAGCATCGGTTAGGAGCACAGGTTCTGGCTCCAGCTCCCTCCTGCTTTCTGTGTCACTTAGGTCCACCACTGTTTAGCCTGTGTGGGGCGTGGGTACCTCATCTGTAACACAGGGACTGTATAGGTACCTGCCTCACCAAGTGTGGTGGGGTTCAAGGGGGCGTCTCACTCACAGGAAGCACTGAGAAAAGCTGGCCGTCAGAGCGGGCACAGGCCCACAGCAAGAGGCACTGTGCTTGGAAACTTTGTAGCTGGGGAGGCCTGGAGCAGCCCCACCCGTTAGAGAAGGCCATCCTGCTGCTGTTCTGCCAGCCGGCTCCAGCTGTAGGAGGAGCCAGAGAAGGACCAGTGGGGTGTCTAGGGCAGAGGACCCAGAATTCCAGTGTTCTCCGAAGAACTCTGTGTGATGAGCCCTGGCTGATCAGAACTGCGTCTCAGTACAAGTCTGTCATAGAAGTTAAGGACTCTTTAGCAGTGGAAGATAGGCTTCAAATCACAAGAAATAAAATATAGAAAATATGATGAATTTAGTGCAGTGACATTCACCTGGAGTCATGGCTGAGGCTGAGGCAGGAGGATTGTGTGAACCTAGGAGACAAGCCTGAGGCAACACAGTGAGTTTTTCTACAATCATCGCAAAGAAAAATATGCTTCTGCATTTTTTTTTTTTAGACAAGGTCCTTGGTAAATTTCTCAGGCCAGTTTTGAACTCATAATCCTCCTGCCTCAGCCACTTTAGTACTGGAATTACAGCCTGGCCTCTGCTTGTTTTTGTTTGTTTATTTGGTTTAGTTTTTTTTTTCTATCCTTCAACTGCAAGCAGAAACAGGTTCCAAAGGATTATAAAAAAGTTGAGTTAGAAGACCCTAAAAGGGAGGCTATTTTTTCAACAATTTTGTCTTTTGATTTGGAAAAAGACTCCACTGTTAGAATCATAGTTGATTTAGTCCAAGTTCAGTACTAACTTTGTTTTGTTTTGTTTTTGTTGTACTGGGGATAGAAACAAGGCCTTCAAACTGAGCTACATCCCTAGCCCTTTAAAAAAAATTTTTTTTTAAATTTTGAGACAGGGTCTCACTAAGTTGCCCAGACTAGGCTCAAACTTGTTGTTGTTTTTTGGGGTTTTTTTGGTACCGGGGATCGAACTCAGGACCTTGCGCTTGCGAGGCAGGCAGTGGAATCTCTGCGCTAAATCCCCAGCCCTAGGCTCAAACTTGTGATTCTCCTGCCTCAGCTTCCCACAGTGCTAGGATTACCTGTGTGTGCCATCATAACTGGCTTCAATGCTAGTTTTTTAATACTAGTTACCTCTGGCAGAGAAGCAGATGACTACGTAGGTTTTGTTTGTTTGTTTCTTGAAGCAAGCAGTCACTATGTTGCCCAGGTGGTTTCAAACCCCTGAACTCTAGTGATCCTCCTGCCTCAGCCTCCTCTGTAACTGGGACCACAGGCATGTGACACCATGCCTAGTTTATAACAGCATCTTCAGTCACTTGCATACACATTAGTTGTTATTTTGTCTGTCTTGAATATCCCTAACCTGCTTCTTCATGAAGAAATGTCTACTCACATTTCAAGAGCCAGCTGACAGATCATCCAATCCGGCTTTTCCATCGTGCACCCGAGCTGCAAAACACCCCACTGGGAACCTTCTCCTGTAACAGCAGCAGATGCTCTGGAGTGCTTCCTATGTACCAGGCACTGCGTTACACACTCGACCTGTGGTAACTCAGACCTCACGACAATGCTAAGTTCTTTTATCAAAATGTTAAGTACCCCAGCATGGAGAGGTTAAGTAATCTACCTAGAGTCACACAGCATGTGGCAGAGCCCCAACTTGAACTCAGCTCACTTTCAAAGCTCTTGCAGACTTCAGCTTTCTCTTGGATCACGGGTTCCTTGCCTGTCCCTGTAGTCTTAATTTATGGTTCTTACATACAGGGAACCTTTATCCCTCTCTGGGGTCCGATACCAGTGACTGAGTCACTGCCATGTGATCAGCTGTATCAGCCCAGTGCTCTTGGCAGATGAATGAATGGACTTTCAAATACTTGCCCAAAAAGATCACACTGACTTTAGTGTTTCCTGTATGTTCTTGTGATTTCCCCCAGGGAAGTGAAGAACACTGAGAAGAAAGCAGCAGATGAAAGACAGGCCAGTCACACGATCATCCTGCCCTCCTCCTCCCACTCCTGCACTGAGGGGCTGCTTGAAAAGGAACACAGAAGAAACTGTGGCAGAGAAATTGCCTTTCTCCTAAGGTTTGTTCCAAGCCATGGGAAAAGCACAAGTGTGAACAACAAAGGAATTCTTGCAGTATAGGAAAGTATGCATACAAGTTGGCACACTTTTATGAATCACTCAACCCTCGCTTCCTGATTATTAGCAGTGGTAGAAAAAGCTACCAGTGATATTTTATTGTTGGGTTGTTTTGTTTTGTTTTTTGAGACAGGGTCTTGCTATATGGTTCAGGCTCACCTTGAACTCACAGTGATCCTCCTGCCTCAGCCTCCCTAGTGCTGAGATTACAGGTGTGCACCACCATGCCTGGTTATCAATGACTTTTGTACTTTCTGTGTGCTAACCATTGGGGTAGGTACTTTAGGAATTGTATGACTCAGAGCTCGTTGGTTGCAAGTGCTGGAAAGCCAGCTCAGACGAGCAAGCAGAAGGAGAATCTAGCAGCTTAGGTAACTGCCAATGGCTGTTGGTCTTTTTCAACCTAAGGACTCCGTGATATTTTGATATCTCTCTCTCCCAACCTCTCTGTGTACTGGCTGCTTTTTCCATCTGCCTCTGCCCTCAGGCCCTGACAGCTCCATTCTACATCCTTATAGTGCCTGACCTATAAGGAAGAGAGCTATCCTGTCTCAGCCTCCATGAGCTTGGCTTGACAGAAGCCTGATGCTGGGGTGGGGCCATTGTCCCACCCATTCTGGACCAACCCTGTTGCTTTGGAAGCAGTGCCCTGAGTAGCCAGGCTTTTGTGTTCCCGTGGCCGTAGTACAGGGCACAATTTATGACATGGAGGAGAATGGGGGAGATTCCATCGATGACAAAATGTCACTTTACTGTATTTATAGCTTATCAAAATGCTATTCAATGCTATCATCCCCATTTTACTGAATAGAAAACTGAGGCACAGAGAAGCCAAATAAGGCTTCATTGAAGACCTAAGGATATAAAGAGATAAATAGCTGGTTGTGGTGCACACCCCTGTGATCCCAGCACTCAAGAGGCTGAGGCGGGAGGATCACTGCAAGTTTGAGGCTAGCCTGGGCTACATTGTCCAGCCTGGGCTACATAGTGAGTTCAAAGCCTGCCTGAACTACATAGCCAGACCCTGTCTCAAACAAAACCAAACAGGGGGCTGGTGATTTAGTTCAGTGGCACCATCCCTGCCTGGCAAGTGAAAGGTCCTGAGTTCTATTCCCAGACTCCCCCCCAAAGGAAATCAAACAAAACAACACAAAGAGATAAAGAAGTAAAACCCCTCAGCTTCAATGGCCCATGTCTAGAAGAAGGAACAAAAATAACACAATATGCAGAGGTAACATATGGCAAAGCTGCACACACCCTGAGAGAACTTCCAGAGGGCATGGAGGGAAGCATGCATCCTCTGATGCTAGTCAAGCAGGAGGCAAGGATGGGCTGAAGCTCAGGGCTCCGTCACTGGGCCTGGCTGAGTGAAGGCTTGGGAGGGCAGCACTCCCTGGAACCCTGCTGTCCTATAAGATCTTTGATAGGTGTGGCCATCAGATCAACCTTTTGTTATCAAACAAGTACATGCAGATAGTTTCTAAAAGTTAGATAATACTATTCAGCTTCTGATACCCAATAGCAATTCCTGCCCCACCACCAGTCCTATTTCAAGGAAGTCGTAACTTTCGCTTCTTTTGGCTTTTAAAAAAAATTCGCCTCTGTTATTCAAAATAACATGCTTACATATGTATTTTTTAAATGAGACATTATCTGTTGGTAATTCTTTACAGATTGCCAAGAGCTACCAAAAAACTAGGCAGCATTATTTCCTGTGTTCTCAAATGTACCATAGATTCTATGAATTTCTTCTTCGTTTTGACCATGGTGCCATCCTTCTCAGGCTCTTGCCTCCCTTTGGTCTGGACTGGTATGCTATGGGTGGGCTCACAGCTATCCTCGTAGGACTTTTCATCATTACCCTGTGACTTCCCCTGTCCACTTTACCCAGTTTCCCAGGTACATGTCTTGCTGTTTCTTGTTTTACTCTCTCGTGTTGCTGGAGCACATCCAGTAGCTCCTGAAGAAAAGGTTTGTGGGAAATTTTGGGCTTGCCCAATATGTGTGTTTTTCCTAGTTAGTATTTGGCAAATGTTTTGCTGGGAATAAAATTCTAAAATAAAAGTGTACTTGCTCCAAATTTTGAAATTGTTTTCTTACCTCCAACTTCTTTTTTTTACCTCCAACTTCTGCTATTAAGAGGTCAGATGCCATCTTGATCCCTAAGCTCTGATTTGATGTCACATCTCCCCATACCACATGGGAACTTTCAGAATATTGTCCTTATCCCTAGCATGCTGGAGTTTCACCACAATGTGTCTCTGTGGGAACCTTTTTATTTATGTTTCACTGGAGTAGGGGGGAGCCTTTTCAATGTGGAGGGTAGTGTCCTCCAATTCTGTGAAATTTTCTTTTATTGTGTCTTTGGTAACTTCCTTTCCTTCGTTTTCCTTGCTTTGTTTTATGCAACTATGCTGACCTCATGGAAAGAGTAGCTTCTGCCTCATCTATGTTTTGGTAGAGGTTGAGAATGGCTGTTAATTCCTCTTTAGCTAGTAGGATTCACCAGTTAAGCTATGTGGTCCTGGACTTTTTCTTGTTGGGAAGTACTTTTATTACTAATTCAATCTTCTTACTTATTATAAGTCTGTGTAGAATATTTTTTTCTTGAGTCAATTTTGGTCATTTTTATGTTTCTAGGAACTTTCCCATTTCAGATCAATTATTTAATTTGTTATTGCTTATATTCTTTTATAAACTTTTTTTTATTCTTGTAAGGTCAGTAGTAATCCTCCCATTTGGGGGGGGGGGGTACCAGGGATTGAACTCAGGTCCTTGCACTTGTGGGGCAGGCAGCAGAACCATTGAGCTAAATCCCCGGCCCCCTTCCTTTTTCTTCTTTACTCCTCCTCTTCATTAGTTAATTTGAGCTAAAGATTTGTTAATTTTTTTTTTCTTGAGACAGGGTCTGACTTTGTAGTTCAGATTGGCCCTGAACTCACCATGTAGCCCAGGCTGGCCTAGAACTTGAGGCGATCCTCTGCCTCAGCCTCCTGAGTGCTGAGTTACAGGTATGTGCCACCATGCCCGGTTGTTAATTTTGTTGATCTCACAGCTAACACCTGTAATCTCTTCAAATAGTCGTTTTATCGATGCTCTTTTTTTCTATTTTTTATTTCATCATGTTTGCTTTACTCTTTATCAGCTCCTTCTGCTAGCTTTGGGTTTTGTTTGCCATTTTTTTCTTAGGCTCTTAAGTAATAAAGGGAAGTTATTGATTTGAGACTTTTCTTCTTTACAAAACATAGGCATTTACAGCTCTCAATTTCCCTCTGTGCACTTTTTTCTCTGTAGTCCATAAGTCTTGGTATGTTGGGTGTTGTGGAGGAGTATTTGGTTTGGCTTGGTTTTTTATTTTTATGGTACTGGAATTGAACCCTGGGCTTCACCCCTGAGCTACTCCCCCAGCCAGTATGAGGCCTGGGAACAGGGCGTATTCCCTCCAGTACTCATGGATGAGGCGTCACCTGGGATGTGGAAGCTCTGTGTGGTATATGCCAGCCTCCCACAGTCACTCCACTGGGGACAGTGCCTGCAATCTGAGCATGTGACATTGGCCACTGGCTCACTGACCCAGGCTGCGACCAGGCAGGGGACCCATGCGGCAGCAGGAGCAGCAGGAAGAGGTCCAGGGCCAGGCTGGAGCCTGGACACACTGCTGTGCCCCCAGCACTCTAATTTCTGTCCTCCTTTCTAGAATGTTCCTGCATTTTATCTTCCAGCTCTTACTTTAAAAACTCTATTATGTTATTGTTTTCCTAGTTTGCATTCTTTCTTATATTTTATTTTTTTCTTTTTCATAGCATCCTCTTACTTTTCACAGATACAAAATTTTCATCCCTTATTGAGGATATTCATCCTTTAAAAAAAAGTTTCTCCTCACCTCATGTTGATTCTGTCTCCTTGAGGAAACTTTTTCTGTTTTGTTTGCCTGTTTAAAACTGTTAGCAATTCTGAGTTCTTGGGCTAGGTATCAGAAGAATCAGACAAATGCACAATGGAATGCGAACAAGGCTATTAATTCTCATGCTTCAGTATAAGGGAGAAAGCAGACAAGGACAGAAATTGCAGGGTGACTGAAACAAAGGACAAGGTGTCCAGCATCAATAGCGTCTGTGGAGAGGGCAAGGACTTGGTCTCTGACGTCACCTCAGGTAGAGGCGGAGCTCTACTTGCACATGGCGCCCTTCTGTATCACTCTTTTTTCCTTACCATTTTGTCTCCACTTTGGGTGTGATTTTGCTTATTTTAGTGACTGTGCTACACATGCATTTGTCCCCTGACACCTGGAGCTTGTTTCTTACCATCTGAGAATGTCCCTAATTGGGTTTTAGAGCCGGGAAGATCATTCCTCTGCCTCAGTGGGTTTGACTTTAAGGATCTTGGGTTTTTTGCCTCTGGCTTTGTGGTGGCTTCGCCTACCGCACAGTCAATGAAGGCTGAACCTTCTCACCGGCTTCCAATCTCCTGATGCGTTATCTTCAGTTCATAGTTTTGAAGACCGTCCCTTTTCAGCTCTCCATTTCCTGGTACGTTTGCTAACTCCCTAAGACAGAGAGCTGGCTTAGCTGTCTCAGATCTATTCGTCCATCTTTCAGGGTTTCTCTAGACTACTGCTGATCTTGGATGTCTTTGTATTTCAGGGTGAAGCTCTGGAAGCCAGGGACTGGGCTGTCCAGCTGCCGAGAGACCCTTTCTTGGAGCCATTGCTTTCCTTAGGAGGGGAATCCAGTTTTTCCCCTGGGCCGGGCCTGGATCACTGCTTCCTGGAAACAGGGAAGGGGCAGACATCCCATACTTAGTATTCAGACAGCTGCTCCATTCTGTTTTCTTCTGGCTTCACAACCCCAAGTCTGTTTATTTCAGTTTCTCCAGAAAACTAAAGCAAAAACAAAGCCTTCCAGTTTTGTTTTGTTGTTTTTTTGGTACCAGGGATTGAACTCGGAACCTTGTGTTTGCGAGGCAGGTGCCAGAACTACTGAGCTAAATCCCCGGGCCCAACCTTCCCGTTTTCATCTGATGCTCCTAACAACTCCTTGAGGTAACTTACAAATTAGGATTATCTTTTTTTCTTTTTGGTACCGGGGATCGAACTTGGGACCTTGCGCTTTCGAGGCAGGCGCTGGAACTAAATTAGGATTATCTTTAGATGTGTAAAAAAGGAAAATCACCAGCAATGGTGGCACAAAGGATGGTTCTCACACATAAAAGAAGTCTGGAGGTGGACAGTATAGGCCTGGTGGGGATGTTAGGGTTTTCAGAGGCCCAAGCTCCACCATCCTAACCCTTGATGTGTTCCAGGATGCCTCATGGCCCATCAGCATGGCTGCTGGGGTTCCAGGCATTCAGTCTGTTTCCAGGCCACCAGCTGGAAGAAGGCCAATTTCATTCTCCTTTATGGAGCCTTCCCATAAGTCCCAAATGTTTCAATTTAACAGCTGATTGCTAGTCTATAACATGGCTACAGAACCTTCTCTCATTAAAAAAAAAATACATATATATACACACACACATATAATCTTTAAAGTATTTTGAATATTTCTTTGTAATTTTTAATCATTACAATTTTATAACATTTTCAAAGTATCCTTTACCATAAAATTCACCCATTTCACTGATTTCTGAATTCACTGATTCACTAATTTCTGAAAAATCATTGAAATTTGATGACCACTGAGATTTAAGGACTCAATTGAAATCTGAAAATTTACAGAGTTCATAACAATGACCATACTTCAGAACTCTCCATCATGCTCTTTTGCACTCAGTCCCTGTTTCCTGCCCTTTGGAACCTCCCTTCCTGGAAACACCATGTAACATCACCACTTTATTTCAAGGGCCACAGTGCAAGCTGCAAAGGAGGCTGGGAAGTGTGGTTTGTTTTAAATCTGGGCCCATTGCCACATAAATAAAAACTGGCTCCCCTGCTAAAGGCAAAGGGGAGCACAGATGATGGGTTGGTAGCTATCTCTGTCACCAATAGATGGTGTCACATTCTCCATTTTAGACACGAAACAAAAGCTTAATGGGGTTGACATTTTTACCCAAGGAAACCTTCCAATTTAAATTTTCTACTGAATTAAGAAAAGACCACTTTTTTTTCCTTTGTGGTCCTGGAATTTGAACCCAGGGCTTTCACACTGAGCTATATCACCAGGCCTTTTTAATTTATTTTTTGAGATAGAATCTTGCTAAGTCACTAAGTTGCCTAGGCTGGCAATTCTCCTGCCTCAGCTTCCCAGGGTGCTTGGATTATAAGCATGCACCACCATGTCCAACTTACTATATATATATATATATATATATATATTTTTTTTTTTTTTTTTCTTATTACAGTAGTTTACCGAGGTCCATGGAATCTCATAGGCTTAGGAGAGAATCATTAGTAACAGTCTTTCCAATATCCATCTTAGATTCTCAGAAGCATCTATAAGCCAATCAGTCCAATTCAGCAATATCACTGCTCTTCCCTCAGACTAACTCCCCTTCTGTAACCAGCTGTCTCCTGTCTGGGTTCTTGTTCTGAGATGATGCAGAAGGATGCACGACAGAGCAGCAAGCAGTGGGGGATGGACTGGGAGTGTGGCTTATTGGAAAGAACAAAAAGGAGAAAGCTCCTGCTGTCAGGAGGGGCTCCAGGAGACAGATGCGGAGTTTCTGAGTCTTGTGCTTGGGTCACTGCCTTTGTTCATGCATTTATTGTCAATCACTATTTTATTTAACATAGTGCACATAACAGTCTTCCCTTATAGTGATCACATTGGCTCCATTTACCAACAGTGCACTCAGTGCTGAGCATTAAGCTAAGCACATTGCTGAGGTACCCATAGGAAGGTTAAACTTCCATGCGGTAGGGGTTGTCCACGGCGTTTCACACAGTGGAAGCCCAGGTTTAGAGAGTTTCAGAAGTTCCCTGAGGTGGTGGCACATGACTGTGATTCCAGCATTCTGGGAGGCTGAAGCAAGAGGATTGCAAATTCAAGCCCAGCCTGGGCAACTTAGTGACTTAACAAGACTTTGTCTCAAAATAAAAAATAAAAACAGGCTGGGCTCAAGGAAAAGGGCCTGGATTCAACCCCCAGTATTGAACAAAGAAAAAGTTCCCTGTAGTAAACAGTCCCTGTTCTCAAGGGGCTGTCAGAGGGAAGGCAGATATATCAATAAATTAATTAAATGCTGCAGGTTTGAAAGGTCCAATGCTGACACACTCAGGACAGATTCCCAGCACAGTGCATACTCCCATCAGTGAGGACAGGGCAGCCAGAAGTCATAGCACTACGCAGAAGCCCATAAATACACCAGTTTATATCCTGGCACCCAAGGAAAGGACTATCGACTGACATAAAACATAAATTGCTAGTGTGCCTGCAGCATTCAGTATCTTAAAACCAACAACACAAAATACATTAAGAAACTGCTGATTCCGTGCAAGCTCAAGGTCCCGAGTTCGATCCCCCATACCAGAAACAAAAAAACAAACAAAGAAACTGCTGGGTGTGGTGACACATGTCTGTGATCCCCGAACTCAGTAGTAGGCAAAGGCAGGAGGATTGCTGCGAGTTCAAGGCCAGCCTCGTTTAGGCTATGGAACCCTCAGATTAAGAGGGGCCCATAAGTACTATTCTTTTTGACACCCATTTCAGAGTGGTAGGGAAGGAGTCCAAACCAGTCCAGTTTATTTTAACAAGGATTCTTTGCTCCTTCCTCTTCCTTTGCTGTAGCTACTTTGTCATCTTGCAACTCCTACCTAATCCCTGACGCCCAGCTTCGGCATCACCTCCTCCAGGAAGTCTCCCCAAACTGCCCAAGGGCTGCCTATTTTGTATTGTGCTTTCCCATCCTTGCCCACTGAATATATCTGGGTGCCGCAGTGTCTGTATCCCTCTCAGCATCATGAGTCCTGAGTTCAGGGTCCTGGTTTTGCTCAGCAATGGATTCCCAGTGCCTGCTTCTTCTTCTTTTTTTTTCTTGGTACGGGAATTGAATTTGGGACCTTGCACTTGCAAGGCAGGCGGCAGAACCACTGAGCTAAATCCCTGGCCCCTCCCAGTGCCTGGTTCTGTGGCCGTCACATAGGAGAGATTGAGCGAATTCTTGGTGAAAAAATTAACGATTAGCTAATGGGTGCTTGGCATTCTACTTCTGTTAACTACCTATAGAAAAAAGAGCATATTTTAGAACTTTGCCTCTCTAGACTTCTGAAGTTAGTTTGAAAATAGTGCATTGATTCTTTTAAAATTTCACTTTTTAAAAAAATTTCACTTTTATTTTAATTAAAGTGGTACGATTTCATCCTTTAGGAGGTGAACAGGGAGGCTGGTGTGGGGTGAGACCCCCTGGGTTTCAGGCCCATCCCCACCACAACCTCCTAGTTTGTGATCTTGAACAGTTACTAACTTCTCTGCCTCTCTGTTTTATTTTAATTTGTAAAATGGAAATAATAATAGTAAATAATGGCAGCCAGGAATGATGGTGCTATAATCCCAGCACTCAGGAGGCTGAGGCAGGAGTTCGAGGCCAGCCTGGGCTACAGAGTGAGCTCAAGGCCAGCCTGAACTACAAAACAAGACCCTGTCTCAAACCCCCCCAACCCCTCCCCCCCAAAAAAGTAGGTATGGCATAGGTTGCGCTAAGGATTAAATTGGCCCAATATCTGTTCTCCTCTGTATACCTGAGTACTGCACTGGTCTTCTTACTTCTTGATTTTTCAGAAGCCCAATAGGTTTCTTCTGTAATTTTGATTAGATCATTTATCAGCATTATGATATCATCAGTACTATCAGCTGAATCATGAGGTGGTGAGGTGTACAATGGTTATTTTTCTTTTCTTTCTTTCCTTTCCTTTTTTTCCAGTACTGGGGATTGAACCCTTCTCACTGAGCTACATCCCCAGCTCTTTTTAAATTTTTGTTCTGAAAGAAGCAAGATGTATCATGTACAGGTACAAATTCCCTATGATGAATGTTATCATTATATATATCTAAAATGTACCAATAAATGTTTTGTTTCCAAAAAATAAATACATAAATACATTTTTGTTTTGAGACAGGATCTAGCTAAGTTTTGTTTTGTTTTGGTATGAGGGATTGAACTCGGGACCTTGCGGTTTCGAGGCAGGTGGCAGAACCACTGAGTTAAATCCCTGGTGGATCTAGCTAAGTTTGAATCCAGGCTGGATTCAAACTTGCAATCCTCCTGCCTCAACCTCCCAGAAAGCTGGGATTACAGGCATGTGCCACCATACCCAGCTTATTCTTCTTGTAAAACTTTTGCTATCCTTGGAACTACGTCTGTCTATCTAGCTATCTAAGATTTATTTTAACTTGCTGGTTTATTTGCTTGGTTTTTTAGTTTTGTTCTCCTACAGAGTTATCATAGCTCACCTCTAAATTCTCCCTTGCTTGTATAAATCTCCACCCAGTGCATGGAGACCCTTTACAGACCCTGTCCCTTTCCACTTCGGAGCTGCTTCATTCTGACTGATTTCCTGGCTGTTTGCCTAACCCTGGGATTCCTTTCTCACTCTCCTGATCCTACTGGGCTTTTAACCTGTTTCTGTTTGGATCCACAGACAGACAGAGACCAACAAGAAGCCAAAAGCTCTGCAAAAAAAGGGGCCCCTCATCTTCAGCCTCTTGCCATCCCCCTTGCATGAATGAATCTTGTCCAAGAACTGGGAGAAACTTCAGAGGGGAAGCTCGCATGTTGTTGGAGTTCATCTAAAAACAACCAAACAATCAAAAATACTGCAAGCGGGGATTCCCCATCCATGGGAAAAAGAATATTAAAGTTCACTTCAACTGTGGGCCAAAGACAGGATTTAAGCACCTGGTTATTCTTTTATTCACTCCCTTATGAATCATGATGTGATAGCCAACCTGTCTCCATTTTGTGCCTCATCACCATTCCCCCTCCCCCCTTGGGAGTCCTCTCTGTTGATGCTTGACAGACCACTGCACCCCATTTGGTAGAGCAGTCTGCAGCTATATGTTATCTTTATGACCTTGTGAAGAGAATACTCTGCACCTATGTGATATTTTGTTTCAACTAAATTCTGTGAAACTTCCCCTGACCCTCACTAATTTAGCAAAGCTCTGCTTCTGTAAAATTCTGCTTGTGTTCCCCCTCTCCCAGAGCCGTCCCCAACTAGAAGAGCCACTAAAAAAGAAACCTGCAAGCTGCTTTTCGGGGTCAAGAGATTCTGAGTGCTAGCTCCTCTCAACCGCCAGCAATAAAGGACTCAAATTTGGCTCAGAGTGTTGGTGATTCCCTATAATCTCTCTTGATTGAATATAACAATGACACTGTAATATATATCATTAAGTAACATAAAAGTAACCAAGGGAGACCTCATTACTTTATTGAGTATTTATGTGCTGGGTGCCCTGCTGAGCCTTCTATGTTTATAGCTACAAGCTGTCCAGCCCCACCCCCAGGTGGGTATTGTCACCTCCATTTTCCCAGGAAGCACTGGGGCTTGCAGAAATAAAGATGCTGTGTTAGCTTTGTGTGGCTGTGACAAAATACTGGGGAAAATCAGTTTAGGAGAGGGAAGGCTTATTCTGGCTCACTGTTTCAGTCCCTCGTCACCTGCTCCATGGCTCTTTGACCCATGTAGGAGCAGAAACATCATAGCAGTGCAGGGGGTGGTGGAGGACAGTTGCTCACCTCACAGCAGCCAGGAAGCAAAGAGAGTGAGAGCCAGACATGGCCTCATGACCCACTCCTTCAGCCAGGCCCCACTTCCAGTTTCCACCACTTCCTAGTAAAGCCATTAATGCCATCCAATTAGGATCTCATCGGGCCGGGGATTTAGCTCAGCGGTTCCGTCACCTGCCTTGCAAGCCCAAGGACCTGAGTTCGATCCCTGCTACCAAAAAAAAAAAAAAAAATGGATCTCATCAATGGATCAGTCCACTGGATGAATTGACAGAGCTCATGATCCAATCACATCCCCAAAGGCCATTAGCTGATAACCAAGTTTTTGGGGCCACTTCAACTCCAAACCATAGCATACACAATCCCTCACAGTCTGCAGAAGGAAGAAGGTGGGAACCAATATGTGCATGCAGGCTTTGCTAGAAGTCTGGGTGGGACTGGAAGGAAACTGAAGCAGGTGCAGCCAGTGTGCAAGGGATCTTGGGGCAGAGTGTAGGGGCCAGCCTGGAGCTGAGGTGCTTGGGCTTGGACAGTTGGGCCTTAGGGCACAGGGAGTGGCTTGGCCTGTGCCACAGCATCCACCTGGCACTGCCAAGACATAAGAACGTACAGATGGCCGTCTCCTGAACCAACAAGCAAGTTGGTGGATTTTTGGGACATATGGCACCTCCTTCAGGCAGACATCTCCATGAGACCATGAGTATAACCCTAGGGGGCTCCTCAGAGAACCACTGTACCCAGGTAATCATACCCAGGGCAGGGCAAGGATCCCAGGGAAGCAGCCCAAGCTCTCCCCTGAGAAAATGCAGGCCTTTGAATTCCAGCTCTATTCCACAGCACTGTGTAACTGTGGGCATCAGCTGCAACCTGACTTTCCAAACTTGTTTCCCTGCACGCAGAGAGGAAATGCTCACCTAGGAGGATTTTTCCATGGGTAAATGAGAAAGTGTATGCAAAGTGCTGGCACAGCATTATCCACTTGGTGATTGTCACAAGCTGTCACAGTTGTCACTGGTGCTACAAAGTATACTTTTCTCCTGAAATCAGGGCACGGTTAGCACCTGCCAGGTATGAGGCACCAAGTGGTGTAGATAATCAGAGCATCCCTGGCCTTTCCTTTGCTGCCCCAGCTACTGAACACTGTACCTGGGGTTCGTCTGAGGATCCACACTATCTCCTCTTTCTGGACCATTTGCTTCTTGCTGCTTCTGTACCTGTAAATTCCTCCCACCCTATTCCTCCTTCAGAACCTGCTTAGACATCTTGGCCTCTAGGAAGTCTTCCCTGATATAACAGCAAGCTTGGTGCAAGTGTTCTCCAGTAGCCTTTCACGCACCACCATTATGGGTTGGTTGGTTTGTTTGCTTTGAGATTGTCTTGCTGTGTATTCCAGGCTGGCCTTGAACTCATGGCCATTCTCTTGCCAAGGCCTCCGTGTGCTAGGATTACAGGCATGTGCCCCCACACCAGTTTAGTGCACCCATTATGGTAGCAGTTATGATTGTGGGTCACAAGCACCAGTTTACCCAGCCACTGCTACAATTAGCCCCACCCAAAGGAGGACCCCAGGCTCTTTGAGCCCAGGAGAAACTGCACTGCAGTGTCCAGGATGATCCTTGTACAGCTGGGGTCTAGGATCACCCCTGCACAGACCCCTTCCAGAAACCACCCAGGACTCATAACCATAGGCCTCTTGGGAAGTTAAAAGTGAAAAGATTCATCTCTGCTTTTTGCAAGTATTAGGAGGGAAAATTACAGGGCTTAGGCTGGGCTTATGGGCTCAGCGTGGGGAACACTGGTGAAGGACTGAGAGCCTGGCCTGTCACTGAGCTTCAGACTACTCGTGTGGAAATGACAGTGATAATAGCTCTACCTTCTGGGTCTTTGCTTTAACCTGCAGAAAGCCCTCAGAACAGTGTCTGACACCTGGCAAGGTTGTTGTCATCGTCACTAGATGCCCCCAAATGCGTGCCCCCTGGCCTCTCCCCTTTGACTCTGAAAGCTGCTTTCTGCTCAAGGAACTTGCTCTGCAGCAGAACCACTTGCAGGTCCAGGAATAAGTTTCTGCCTTTCTCACCTGCAGACAAACCCTCACTGAGCTTCCCACCTCAGTTGAAGGCCCTCTACCCTTCTGGAAAGCAGCTCCAATGCCACAGCTTGCATGGCTGAAGGGTTCACGGAGTGAGAAACAATGGTGGGAGATTAAGAAAGACAGACAAAGGGCTGGGGATTTAGCTCAGTGGTGCCACTGCCTGCCTGGCAGGCACAAGGTCCTGAGTTTGATCCCCTGTACCAAAAAGATGTCCTCTTGTTGCCTGTTCTCCTTCCTCGAGGCCCTGCCTCATTTACAGGAGGGAGTGAACCAGAGGCATGTTCCATTCCACGCAGGGCCCTGCCTCATCCGCAAGGAGAGGCAAGTTAGGTCTGGCCATAGCGATCTATATCACAGGGTTCCCAGCACCCCAACATGAGCTTTGCTTGGTTCCCAGGGGCCTGTTGATCCCTGTTACCTATCCTGCCTGCACTGATTACTATTCTATCTCCGGCTCCCACTGGCCTCTGGCTGTGGGAGGTCAGCTGTCTGGTTTTGTTTTGTTTTTTTGAAACAAGGCCTCTTTATGTAGTTCAGACTGGCCTTGAACTCACTGTGTAGCACAGGTGAGGTCTGCTATCTTTATCTCCGCGTTCAGTAAGATAATCAGAGCACTGAGCAGGCTATCATAAATGTTGGTAGAGCCAGGCATGGTGGCACACACTCGTAATCCCAGCACTTCGGAGGCTGAGGGAGGAATTGTTGTGAGTTGGAGGCCAGCCTGGACTACATAGTGAGTTCAAGTCCAGCCAGATCTACATAATGAGTTCTGGTCTCAAAAACACAATGGAAAAAATGTTGGTGTAACAACTAACAGTCATGATCATGCCCTCTGGCTGCCATGTAGGGAGGTTGTAAGTTTTTCTAATTTGGGTGTAAGTCTGAATCAATGAGAAAGTCCAAAATATACTGTATATGTTATTTATATTATATATAAACATATAATAATATACATAAAATATTCGTATGCAACATGTTGGATAAAACATATTTACACATATAATAATTATTTTGGACTTTCTAGTCTATTATCTATATTAAATTATATATTATGGACTATATTATATATTAATGTATATCAAACATTTATTTATAAAAGTTTAAGCTAAGCCAGAAATGCATCTGTGCCTAGATATTTGTACTCTATTTCTTTAAGTCCTGTTCCAAGTAACATGTTCCTTTAAAAATTATATGCAAAACCCAATGAGAAATGTAATTGTGTTGTATACCTACAATGTACCAATAAAAGAATTTAATACAAAAAAATTATATCCAAATTAAAATATTTACTATTTAATTTCTGTGTGTAAAGTTAAGATATAAAATGGAAAGCTTTGTTTATTTAATTACTGTTAAGCACCAATGGGGAGCAATGCCACAGCCCATCAGGTGCTGTTGTGCTCATTGCTGTTTCTGTATAAGTCGTGTCTGCACTCTGACATTTAACTAGAAGTTACATGGAGTTTGAATTTTTCTTTTTTTTGGTACCAGGGATTGAACTCGGGTCTTTGCTCTTGAGGGGCAGGCGGTGGCACCACTGAGCTAAATCCCCGGCCCCTAAATTTGAATTTTTCTTAGAACACCAAAATAAGTGAGTGGAAATTAGTATTATGTGAGCAAAACCAGTATCTAGCAACCTAGCTATGGGGCATTGGGTAAGGTTAAAAATAAAATATTTCTGAAATTAAAAAGGTATAACGCCAGGCATGGTGGTGTACGCCTGTAATCCCAGCACTCTGAGAGGCTGAGGCAGGAGAATCACAAGCTCAAGCCCAGCCTGGGCAATTTAGCAGCTTGGTGAGATCCTGTCTCAAAATAAAAAATAAAAACAAGGGGCTGGGGATTTAGCTCAGTGGTTCCGCCCCCTGCCTTGCAAGCGCAAGGACCTGAGTTCAATCCCAGGTACCAAAAAAGTAAATAAATAAATAAAATAAAAAATAAAAACTGGCTGGGGATGTAGCTCAGTGAAAAGGCCCTGGGTTGAATCCCCAGTACTGGGGAAGGGGAGAGCGTGAAAAATAAATGCAGACAAAAACTGAAGGGAGTCACAAATGTTAATCATGTCACTTGGGTTAGAATGACCTGGTGATGGGCTTCCTCTCCCAAGGACTGCAGCTTTCCATGGCACAGACTTGCCTTGGTCACCTTTCCGTCTGTGAGCTTACCAGAGACCACACTACTTTTCCTTCCATTCACTTTTCCCAGTTCTGTTTATTGTAGTTCTTTGTATAATTCTTTGCAGAAAGTGTTTTCTCTGCTGGGCCCTAGCCTCTCTGAGAGCCATGAAATAACTAACTCCTTATTTTCCTAGGCACAGAAATTGATACAACCAAACATTTGGATGACCCTTCAAATTTGATCAAGATCCTGAGGCCAGCGTGGTGGTACACGCCTGTGATCCCAGCACTTTGGGAGGCTAAGGCAGGAGGGTCACTATGAGTGTGAGGCTGGTCTGGGCTACATAGTGAGTTCAAGGCCAGTCTGGGTTACATAGTGAG